GGGGGGCAGCACCAGGGGCCGGGCCTGCCAGTATGTCTTGGCTAGCTAGGATTGAGTTACAGCTCTTCCAGCCTAGGTGCTCTGAGACTGAGCTAAGTGGTACTGTGAGAGAGGCCCATTCTTTCATTAACCTTGGATAAAACCGGCCGCATTTGTGCTCTTGAAGCTGGTTGCTGGAGAAAATTAATCCTCTCTCCAATTTGGACATACTGTGATCTTCTGGGTACCCTTAATACTTGAGCCTTTATTGCATGAGTTAGAAGCTACCCTTCGACAATGGGACATGGGAAGGGATGATGATGATGATGTAACGTTGACAGATGGAACTAAACCTGGGACCCGTGAAGTTTAGTGCATAAGCCTCTACTGCTTGACCTAAAAGCCAGCTGGCTTTCAGCGAAGGCTGCAGGGCAAACTCGTTCTCTCTCCCTGTAGGTGGTCTAAGTGTCACTCCACGGGACAGTGCACCACACTCAAAAGGTGTGTAGGTTACAATTGCTCCTGTAGGGTGAGGAAGTTAGGAAATTTCTGGAGTAATCTCAGAGGGAATCTCACTCACAGTAGCACCTTGGTGCAAGACAACATTGTTCTGATTTGAGACACAAAGCCCTCATAGATGTGACAAAGTAAATATCTTCAGGTCTTGTAGCCTCCAGTTTCTGAATCCCATCCCGATAGAAATATATTTCTGTAGAAGCTGATAACTGTGACTCTCATAATATCAAAGACATAGAATCATTCAGCTTTCAATGTTGACAAGCCCGTGTTACTCCACAATATAATCTTAGCTGTGTGATGGCTGCTCCATTGGCCTTTCCCAGACTCAGATGCGCAGGTAGTTTAACAATGGATATACAGGACCCCTGTTTACCCAAGGGTGCTGTTCAAAGCACAAGTTAGAGATACAGGTAGGCCAAAAGATGAAGCAGAATACTAGCAATGCCTACTGCATGTGTGCATGAGTACCTCTATGGGATACTCAGACATGTAGCTGGTTCTTTAGAGCAGCTGTCAACAGAGAAACAAATCCCTATTGGAAACTGCGGCTATGGTGGATTTTAGTCAATTATATTCATATAAGGCAAGATATCAGACATCTTCCTCTTCTTCCAGAGCATGGCTCAGTGCTATTAAGAGTTATTCTGCGTTGTCAAATGGAGAACCAGACCTATTACTACTGGATACATTAGTAACATCCATTAGGAGGCTTTTAAGTCTAGGGCCAGTATTCCCAAGCTTTGGGACATGGCCAAAAACAGATAAAGGACCCTTTCATTCCACACGCTTCAGCAGCTGTCCAATGCATTTTTGGAAATTTTTTTTAAACAAGGAACTACAGAAATAGTAATTAACAATCACTTCCTTGTAGTGTTACGCAGGACATAACAGAACAACTTCCACCCTTGAGTTAATGCTGATCATTTTAGGCAGTTATTTAAGAGCATAAGCTCTTCAAAGCAGAAGTTATTCATGTGTGTTTCCACAGTGCGTAGCACAACAGGGTCTCCAGTCCCAACTGGAATAGTCCCCAAGACCCCAGTCTAAAGAATAAAGGCATCTTACGAACCAGCCCAACATCCCAGATTACCCAGTAAAAGTGCATCTCGACTCCCCATCTGAGCCCCTATTTTCAGAGAATGAAGTAGTCAGGAGTTATAAGAAAAAAAACTGGGCAGATGAGCTAGGGTTGGGCTGGATATGGATAAGATGACTCAGTTCCAGGGACAGTGGTTTAGGCTGAATATTGTGTGGGTAGGAAGGTGGGGTAAACCATCATTTCCCCTTGCCCACCTCCTATTTCTGGTTCCAGAGTCTGCTTTTACACAGCAAGGTATTTTGTCTCAGGCTTCCCATTTTGCTCCTCACACGACAATGACTGGAAGCGCCTATGTTAAACCCAACACTTCAGGGACAGCACACACCATAGTGCTAACGGTCAGAGATAGAACCTCACAGACCAGGAGCATGGAATCGAGCAAAGACCTGTGCAGACAAGTATTCTGCAGCACTTACCAGCAGGCCAGGATGCAGAGGCCAGTGAAGAGGATGATGGGAATGGGGTAGGAAGCACACAGCAGCCCGTGGTTGTAGAATGCCCGCGATATTGTCTCGCGCAGCTTTTCAGTAAGGGTCATCCTCAGCTGTCGTCACCTAGCTGCCATCCCGGAACGTGTCATGGGGATTACTCAGGTCCACCATGCACAGCACTTCAGCAAAGGCACCATACGCAGGACAGGATGCTGGAAAGGGGAAAGAGAGAATGCATGAGAGAAGCAACAGGAGCATTTTCAGCCTGGCTTTGCAGCCACGCAGCTGCAATGTCTCCTCAGGAGCAAACTGGGAAAACATATGGCTCAGAAGCCCAAGACAAGAAGTTGTGCCATGTGAGCAGCCATCAGGCTCCTTGCCCATCAGGGGAGGATGAGAGCAGGCTGTGGGACAACACGTTCAACAAGCGAGCAGTAAGTCTAAGGGGCAGAGAGGGAACAGACCCAAGAGAGTTTAGATGCCTCAGGGGAAACGAGAGACAGGCCAAGCAGAGAAAAGAATAAAGTTACCAGTCAAAAGAGGGGGGCAGAGGGAGAGACGAGCTTCCAGTTAGGGGAGGAAGGTATACAGAAGAGTGAGTGGGAATGGAACTGGGGTACCTAACAGGGAGGGAGTAGGGGCTGGGCAGAGCAACAGAGCTTAGCTACCACTCCAAAGAGGAAGCAGAAGGGCCTAGGGACATGCCAGTGTGAGGAAGGGTAGGCGCTAGCTGTCAGCAAGAAAATCCTGTCTTAGAGGAAGGGAGAACCACAGAGAAGTACATCTGCTGAGCGTGCTTGAGGTTCAATCTCAGTGTGAACATCCTGGCGTTAATGATCCCATCATGGTGACGTGAGGGAAGAGCTTGGGTCTGAATTTTACAGCTACAGACAGTTTCAAGGCAGTTATTTTTGCTGGGAAAAGCGAGCAAGACTTGACTTTGCAACCACACCACAGCAGACAGTGTAGTAAAATAAAATACAGCTTGAGTGCTTTCCTTTGGCAAAAGACCTTTTACCTTGATTGCATGACAGGACCTAATGCTTGTTACCGCCTCACAAATGCAGATCTAGAATCTGCTCCAGGACCAGGCAGTTCAAACTTTTCTATAAAAGTCTACTAGTATACACAGACATTCAGGAGAGTTTAAAAAAATGGTTTGAAAGTGACAGTTTGAATCAGCATGGGACAATAATTAAGAAGAACTAGCAAATAGACAGGAGGCCGTGAAAGAGGCAGGAACACCTAGCAAACACACTCTAAATAAGGAAGACACTAGTTCCCACCTCACAGAGTGGGCGGAGGAGGGGTTCCCCAGGAGCTGGTGCTCGCACTTACCACCACCACCCCACTGCCACCTGTGACGCAGAGAGCCGGCTGCCCCACAGTGATGCTGCCTCTGATACAGGCAAACAGTTACACTTTCACATCCCTAGCAGGGAGGAGGGTTTTAGATTTATTAGGAACTTGCCACCTTTTGGGAAAGGGAGGAGCACATGCAAGAAGAATGGGCTCCACTTAAACCAAAATGGAGCCAGACTGCTGGCATATAAAATTAAACAGGTTGTAGAGGAGTTTTTAAACTAAGGGCTGGGAGAAAGCAGAGGAGCTCATGGTGCAGAGAAGACATTCCTTAGGGATGAATTTATTGAAGGGGGAACTCTATATCCCAATAAAGAAGATACCAAAGCAGTTGGTGAAGTACAGGTAGGAGGTAGCGAAGAAGTCAGATGTAAAGGAATACCTTTTAAATATAAACACATGAAACTGATTATTGACAAAACTGTACACGTGCTTATCTAAAAATATTGTAAGGCTAAATATTAAGATGGGTGAATTATTATAGTGCCTGGCATTAAATGAGGATATTGACATGATAGACATCAAGGAAACTTGGTGGAATGAGGATAAGTGCTATAATACTAGGGTACAGAATATACAGAAATGACAGTAGGTCATGCTGGTGGGGAGTGAGTGACATTATATATGAAAGAAAGCAGAAAGTCAAAACAATTCTAAAATGAAAACTCTGTCAGAGAATGTCTATGGATAGAAATACCATGCTTTAACAACACGAGTATAACCATAGGAGTATCCTACCAAGCCCCTGACCAGGACGGTGACACAGATTAAATTGCATGAAGACTATTTAAAAACATCATGACAGAGGCTCAAACTAAATGCTGGTTTTGATGTGAAGTATGCCAGATGCAAAAACTGTCACCATGGCTAAAAAAGCAGAGAAAAAATGGCATCCTTAAAAATTGGAAGTCAAATCTTGCTGAGGAAAATAGAAAGGAGCATATATTTTTACACTTAACTTGCCAGCGTTGGTGGGCAAAACACACTTCCTCAGATGAGGTGGAAGCTGCCAGCTCATCTGAGGAAGTGGGTTTTGTCCGTGAAAACTCATGATGCTATATATATTTGTACTAGTCTCTAAGGTGCCACAGGACAGCTTTTAAGAAGGCAAAGCAAGAAAAAATGTGAAGCACAAACTGAAGCATCAGTGTTGGAAATTTTGGAACAAACTGATAAATTAAGCAGTAATAAATCACCAGGACCAGATGGTATTCACAAAAGATTTCTGAAGAAAGTCAGCTATAAAATTATACAGCTTCTAACTACTGTATGTAACCTATCACTTAAATCAGCCTCTGTACTCTCACTAAAGGAGAGCTAAGATATAAGGCCTATTTTGAAAAAAGTCTCCAGAAGGCGAGCTTGCCAGTAACAAACCAGTACACCTAACTTTAGTATCAGATAAATTGGTAGAAACTATAATAAAGAACACAGATGAGATAAACACAATGTTGGGGAATAATCAATACAGATTTTGTGAAGGGAACTCATGCTTCACCAGTTTATTAGAATTCTCTGAAGGATTACACAAGCACATGGACACAGGAAATCCAGTGGATATAGCATAGCTGGACTTTCTGAAAGACTAAGAGAAGGTCCCTCACCAAAGGTTCTTAAACTTTAGGGGCCTTTCATGAATCAACTACAGGTTGAAACTCACTTAACCAGGATTCCTTGGTCCAGCACAAATGTTGCAGGACCAGAGTGTTCTGGTGGAGGGTCAGCAGGATGGATCCCTGTGGGGCTGTCCGGGCAGTGGGCTGTCCACAGCAAGCTGATGATGGTGGGGCGGCTAGGCACGTGGAAGCACAGCTACCCCCTGGATCCCAGAGCCCTGGGGCATGGCTGCCCCACGGGTCCCAGAGCAAACACCATTGATGGCCTTCTGGCCAGCAGGAGGTGGGGAGCCAATCGGGAGGCCAGTGGGCAGAGGTGCAGAAATGACCTCCCCCGGTCCAGCAAAATTCCTCATCCATGACCAGTCAGGTCCCGAGGGTGTCGGACCAGGGAGGTCCAACCTGTAGTTAAAAGAAAATACACAAAGGGTAGGAAAAGTCAGTTTTCCACAGTGGAGAGAGGAAAACAGCTGGGTCCCCACAGGCCCTCTAGGACCAGTGCCGTTCAACATGTTCACAAATGATCAGGAAAAAGGGGTGAACAGTGATGTGGCAATATCTGCAGAGGATATAAAATTATTCAAGATAATTAAGTCCACAGGTGGCAAAGAGTTATAAAGAGATTTCACCGAATTGGGTGACTTAGCAACAAAAGGGCAGATGAAATTCAGTGCTGATAAATTCAAAGTAATGAACATTGGAAAATAATCCCAACTACACTTACCAAATGATAGGCCTTAATTAGCTGTTACCATTCAAGAAACATCTTGTCATTGTAGATCATTCCCTGAAAACATCCCCTCAATGTGCAGCAGCAAAGTAGTTAACAGAATGTTAGGAACCACTAGGAAAGAAAGATAAAACAGAAAATATCATGTCACTATGTAATTCCACACCTTGAATATTGTATACAGTTTGAATCACTTCATCTAAAAAATCAGAACTGGAAAAAGAGCATAAAAGGCCAACAAAAATAATTAGGAGTACAGAACAGCTTCCATAAGGGGAGATTAAAAAGAGTGGACCATTAGGCTTGGAAAAGATGACTATGGGTGGATACAATAGAGATCTACAAGTTCATGAATGATATCGTGAAAATAAATAAGGAAGTGTTATTTTTCTCTTTGTATAACAAAGAACCAAATAAATAAATTGCCAGCAGTTTTAAAACAAATGAAAACTTCACACAACACACATTCAACCTTTGGAACCAGGGGATATCGTGAAGGCCAAAAGTATAACTAGGTTACAAAAAAAACCCACTAAGAAAGTCATGGAGGATGGATCTATCAATGGCAATTATCCAATACAGTCAGGGATGTAAACTCATGCTCCCAATGTCCCCAAACCTCTGACTGCCAGAAGTGGGGACTAGATGACGCCAGTGGAGGATGAGCGCCAGTTGTGACAAGCTGGGAAAGTTGGCAACCCTGTAATTAGAATAGGGTTAAAAATGAAGTGTTCAGGGTGTGGTAGAGGGCTCTAGGTTGGGGCAGAGGGTTGGGGTGTGAAGGGGGGGGGGGAGTGCTCCAACTAGGGGTGCAGGCTTTCAGATGCAGCTTGGGATGAGGGAGTTGGGATGCAGGAGGGAGCGCTAGGCTCCATGTGCTGCCCTCACCTGCAGATGCTGCCCCCTGCAGCAACCATTGCCTGTGATTCCTGGCCAATGGGAGGTATGGGGGTGGCACCTGCAGGTGAAGGTAGCATGCAGAGTTTCCCAGATTGCCATGAGCCAGTGTTTGCAGCTCCAGCCTCGCAAGGGGGCACCAAGACTCAGGGCTTCTGGCTGTGGCCCAGAAACTTGCCATGAGCCAAATTAAATTAATCAGGCGGGCTGAATCCAATCCACAGCCAGAGGTTCCCCACCACCAGGGATCATCAGTTTTTGAAAGGTGTAACAGAAACCAAGTTTGGGCTTTTAAAGCACCTCAAGATCCTCGGATAAAAGGTGCTTAACGATCAGTAATTCTGTACCTGTATACCTTTTATCCATTCATTGCATATATGCAGAGCATTATTACAGTTAGAGGATTACAAAAATTCCAGTACAGGCCTCAAGTGTAATTTAAAGTAAGATGCTCTCTCTTGCTGCAATTCCAATGCTTTGTTAACTACCAATCCTTCACCCAGCAATAGGATAAAATCCTGCAAAGGACAGTACAATCTGAATACGAGGGACAAGCTGCCCTGTAAAAAAAGACATAAGGCCATCTCTGCTTTTCTGCACTTAGATGCACCCTGGCTAAACCTGCTGTTTGTGCTAGAAATATGCAGTTTTAACTGCTTTGAGAATCCACTGCAGTAAAACAGCTGAGAGACAGAAGTCAAGTGCACATTACAGCAAACACTCATCAATTTATTCAGCACTGGAACATGATTTAGGTAGCTTCTTTTTTCTGACAAGGAGACAGTTGCACATATACCTGCCACCCATGAATGACAGTGTAAGAGGTAGGGGAAAGCACTGCCCACACTGCACCCCTCACACTGCCATGCTGAGGCTGGGACCACACATTGCCTGCCTCCCCTGTGCTGCAGAGCCATGGAGGACTAGAGACCTGCCCCTGCAGTGGAGGGATTGGCTCCCACAGAGGAGGGGGGAGGGGTTCTTAGGTGAAAGAGGTGGGGCTGAGGGCTTGTCATTACAGTACTGACACAGATCAAGCACAAAGCAATAATGTAAACCTGTTTTAAGTTACTGTTCTTAGTTTAAAACTGAAATCCCAATTCCAATCTTCCTACAAAAGAGACCAAATGTCTTTGTCCCAAAAAGGGAATGTACCAGGTCATTTACCCTCTACACCTGGGCACCCATTACTGCCTGTTATAGCAAATCAGTGCAAATACAAGTCATGTTTACTGGAGAACAGTTGCCATCTTGCCCTGTGAGAAGAAGTACTGCCACTTAGAATTTCCCTTTGGTTTCTCAGCCTGCTGCTTTCTGGGAACAGCTGGCCTTTTAATCAGACATCTAGAAGTAGTCTCCTGGTACTTGATACTGCAAAAGAAACCATTTATTTTCCAAAGCTCGAGCACCTGATTCTTTCCTTACAGTCTATTAAGCCAGAGATGTAGGGATATAAGCGTCTAGACGATTATCCGATAAGCATATGACTCAACTAGTCGCTTTCCCCCCTTGTTGCCTCTATCATCAGGAGCCTCAGCACTGTCTCCGGGGAAAAGGGGGGGGGGGCGGAGGCATGCCAGGAGCACAGCAGGGAACTGGTGGTGCTTCTGCCTTTGAAATGTAGCAAGAGCAGGTCTCTTACTATATTTCAAAAGCAGAAGCGCCAAAGGGAGCGGGAGACTGCTTGAGTCCCCTGCTCACCCTGTGCTCCCCACACGCTTTGCTTTTGAAATGTACAAGAGCCCCCAGGACTCTTGTACATTTTAAAAGCATGGAGCACGAGGTCAATGGGAGACTGCTTGAGTCCCAAGCTGGCCTGTGCTCCTGATGGCACTTCCGCCTTTGAAATGTAGCAAAAGGCCACAGGGCTCTTGCTACATTTCAAAGGTGGAGGTGCCCTTATTGACTAATCAAATAGTCGATGCAAATTCCATCAAGAATTCAATTAGTTGATTAATTTAAATTTAACATCCCTAGATATGTAGAGTCAATCATTGTATCTGATGGACACAGGGTGTCTAGGGCAACACTTACTCACTGTATTACTGACCAGATGAATCCCAGATGACTTAGAATAAACACTTCACTGTTTTTCAGACAAGAAAAGATCAACTCAGATGTGTATGTCCTACTTAAGTGATAAAAATATGGCTCTCAATTTAATTTTAGTAAAAAAACTTCTATCACTAACTTTTGTTACTAACATTGCTAGCATTTTGTTGGGAGGGAGCATTTTCAAAAAACGTTAGAGCTCTGGCTGGAGGTCAGAAAATCTGGGCTTTAATTTCAGTTCTATCAGACTCAGTTCATGACTTAGTGCAAGTCAGATAACTTCTCTGTGCATCCATTTTCTACACCTGTTAAATACAGGTAATACTAACTTCAGAGTGAAACTTGAATTTGTTAGTTATTAAAAATTTAAAGCTTTCAGATGAAAGGGGCTAGAGAAATACTTTATAACAAACAGCAGCCCAGCAACTGTCTGGCTTGAAAAATGTACAAGACACTAGTTAAAGTTATTTTGGGGAGGTAGGACTGGGGGGTGTATTTCTGTTTCACTCTGCTCCACTTCTTGAAAGTGTTAAGAACAGAAGCATTAGAATGGTCAGTGTGCAGTCTCAAGATACTGCTGAATCAGCTTACATGAACAAAGTTATCTTCAAAACTACAATGGCTAGATTTCTTTAAAAGTCCTCAAAAGAAATTGACAACTTAGGACTGAATCCTTCCTGTTTTCCACTACCAAAAGGATTTGTCAAATCCTGTATAACCAACACAACAAAAACAAAAGGTTACATGGAAATAGATATGCCATTAAAGCAGTCTTTCATATGCTCATAAAAAAGTATTTTGCATTTCTGGAGCAGCTCACACCCGAGGATCTCACTGCACTTTCCAGACATGTTATGAAACTACTAAACTCCCTCAGGTGAAGTACTCCCTTCATTTTACTAATGGGAAAAATGGAGGTAAACTAAAGTTAGACAAAATGCCCTGGAACAGGGGATTCCAAATTGTGGTACTTGAGCCACTAACAATACAAAAGCTTCACAACCCATCCATTCACTTCACAATTTTTTTTAAATCAATGATTAGGACTCACTGCCCTAGCACACAAAATACATGTAACAGCCAGGAACAGAAGCTTTTAAAGCACTACACAATCATCAGATAAAGGTGCTTAAACAGTATTTCTGTATACCTTTTATCCATTTCTTACATAAGCACAGAGCATTATTATTGTTAGAGGATTACAAAAATTCCAGTACAGGCCTCAAGTGTGATTTAAATGAAGATGCTGTCCTCTCACTGCAATTCCAATGCTTTGCTAATTCCCAATCCTTCACCCAGCAAACAATGCTGAATGTAACAATGTAAAAGCCCTGAGGATCGGACTAAGGTGATCAGTACCTGTGTAAAGCTGCCTAAAAGACAGCCCTGCATTATATTTTCCCACCCGGCTATTAAGAAATGATGATGCAAACATTACTCCGCTATTGCTAGGGAAACAGATTTCTCAAAGCAGTCTTGCTACACATTCTATACCAAAAACATTGTGCTGAGTCTGTGGCCTTACCACAAAGGGCCAATCCAATGCTGCAACAGCTTCGCAGAAAAGGAGAATTCAGATTATAACCAGTTTGTGCTACAAACAGGATGGAAGAAGATTCAAACAAGCTGGAGTCACACACTACATTGCCACATCAGCTGGTTCTCCCCTCTCCCAGATACAAGAAAAGAAGGTGATAGCACATCTGAATCACTGCAGAATAATACAGTACAAGCCAGATCACAAGAAGGGAAGCAAAGCTTGACTGTAATAACATAAGCAAATTTTACACTGGTGAACTCTGCTCTTTGGACAGCTCAGAAGATAGAAGTCCCCTATTCAACAGGTACAGCATGGGCAGCAGGAGGGCTAGCTTCCCCACTAGCATGCCTCACTCATAAGGATGGACCTTCCCTTGCAAAGGAAGTTGAATCTCCATGATACATTCTACCACTGGTTTCTCTAGGCCAGGGAGAGCACTTTCAAACAGCTCTGCTATCTACTATGTTCACCGACATCTCCTAGGCTGCCAAGGGAACAAAGTTCACTAGAGTAAGAATTGCTTCACCACAAAAGTTTGATTTGAAGGTGATGGTCCCTCTCCCATGACTTGTTATCCCTTACTTCCATATGCAGGAAGTGAAATTTAACCAGAGCCAAAAAGATG